GGCCATGTTTATTCACATTTATATGGAAGTATCTTGAGGTAGTGTAGACTCAAGTGTGTTCGAATCATGACCCTGAGGGTTAGGGTGGGGCTACATCTATAAAAATCATGACACCTGGGGTTATAGTGGGGTCACAATAGGGATGAAAGTTTTACATAGGAATGTATAATAGAAAAAATATTTTCTCCTGATGAAGAACAGCAGGGCAGTATTGACAAGTTATACAAAGGAATATAAAGGATGTATCAATAAAAATTTTCTTCTTAAGAACAGCAAAGCCCCCCCCCCCTTTACCACTTTCATATTTAAACTTTTCAATACAGTAAACTTGGTTATAGCGAAGTCCTGAGGAGCCGTGAATTTAATTTGCTATATCCGTAATTTGTTATATGTAACAAATTCGTTTTATTATATTTAGCGAATTCGCAATATACAAGTTTTTCTTCAAGTATTACTACCGAATATGTTAGGGAAGCAAATATTACAAAACATACCTTGGATAACTAAGGTTTTATTATGAATTGAATCTTATATACAAATACATACCAAATATAAAGTGACTTCAATGTATGAAATTTTGTGATCTTTGAAAGTTCGTTATAAAAGATGTAAATTTCATTATTTTTAACCTCTATGGGACTCAAAATCAGTTCGCTATATCCTTAAATTTGTTATATCAGAGTTTGTTATAACCTTAAAATTTTACAAAGGATTGTAAAGAATTTTGTTGGGGATTCGAAAAACTTTGCTATATCCATGAATTCGCTATATCTGTGTTCATACTAAATGAGTTTTACTGTACTGAAGTGATTGCTGCTTTTTCCTAGCCAAAGTGCCTAGGTGAGTGATGTGGCCAATGGGCCTCTTGTTCTTAATTATATTCCCTTAAAAGAAGGGTGTGGCTTTTCAATCAAACATGTGACACTAAATTAGCTTGGGGTTATTTGTTTATGTGCTTGGATGCATTGTCAGCACAATGCCATAACACACTTGGGGGAATGAAGAACGAAACATTTGTCAGCTAAAATATTATTAAGAACCCAATTGGGCTTGGTGTTATTATTTCTAAACACCTTATCAGTACTTTATACACAAAACAAAGCAAGGTTATTTAATATCTATCATTCTTCAGTAATACAATTAAAACCAGAAGTCTCTAAGATTGTAGCTCTACTGGTTTGTTCTTAAAGCAAAGGAAAAGTAGCACTTGGACTTGAAACTATATTTAACAGCAATAAATAGAATAATGATCCTTGAATTATTTATTTCTTTTAGCAAGATTTATTTCAATCAGACTAAAACGTAGGAGGAGTAGCCATTTGAAAGAATTTTACAGAAATTTATACTTTAAGTAACTCTAGCAACACCATTCATCAAAGTAAAAAAAAACAATAAAGAGAATTATGCATCTCAGTGCCATGTAATTGCATGTCAAAATATACTAAAATCTGAGACCAAAACTGTATGAGGAGTATCATTTTGAAAGTATTTTACAGAAATTTACATTTTTTGTAACCATGGCATCACTGTTCATTGAAATAAAAAAAAACGACAAGAGGCCCAGGGGCCATATCGCTCATCTGAGCACTGTGGCTACGAAAAAGCAGAAATAAGTTCAGTCTTGAAAAGTTTAAATATAAAACTGGTACCGGGGGGTGGGGGGTTATTTGAACAAACTTGAATCTAAACTTCATAGGGATGCTTTTGAATTAATATGACAAATAATGACTTTGCTGTTCTTAAGAAGAAAATTTTGATTGATATATCCTTTGTATGATCCCCTGTTATGGCCCCTCTATTCTCCAGGGGATCATGATTTGTACAAATTTGAATCTACATTACCTGATGATGCTTCCATTTAAATATAACTAATCATGGCTTTGCTGTTCTTGAGAAGAAGATTTTTAAAGATGTTCCCTATATATTCCTATGTAAAACTTTGATCACCCATTGTGGTCCCACCCTACCCCTAGGGGTCATGATTGGAACAAACTTGAATCTACACTACCTGAGGATGCTTCCATATAAATATGACCCATCATAGGTTTGCTGTTCTTAGGAAGAAGATTTTTAAAGATTTTTCCTATGTATTACTATGTAAAACTTTGATTGCCCCTTGTGGCCCCACCCTACCCCCACAGGTCATGATTTGAAGAAACTTGAATCTACACTACCTGAGGATGCTTCCATAAAAGTTTCATATTTTCAAGCACAGCGGTTTTTGAGAAGAAGATTTTTAAATGATGCCATTAATTTTTCATGAATTCATAATTATCTCCCCTTGGAAGAAGGTGTGGCCCTTCCTTTGAACAAACTTGAATCCCCTTTACCCAAGGATACTTTGTGGCAAGTTTGGTTGAAATTGGCCCAGTGGTTCTTGAGAAGAAGATGAAAATGTGAAAAGTTTACTACAACGACGACAGACAATGGACAAATTTCAATCAGAAAAGCTCACTTGAGCCTTCAGTTCAGGTGAGCTAACGAGATGTTTGTAAAACACATATGCCCCCCCCCCCCCCCCCCTTGGACATACATTATAGGGTGCACAAGCCTTTATTACGGGTAGTAAACATGATGGGCAGTGTACATGGAAATGAAATTGACCTTTTGAACTTAAAATCAATAGGGTCATCTATCGGTACTATCTGAAATGCATCAACCAGAAATAAACTTCTACATCACATCTTAAGCAAAAGCACGTTTCTCATGATATATCAGAAATTAATTAGTTCAACCTATGCAGAAATAATGAATGAAAACTGCAAACAATTGGAATTTTTCTAAGTCCAGGGGGCATAATTCTGTCAAAAATTGCTCAATCATACCCAAAACAGAACCTGATCTAGATATTCTTATGATAAATCTAAGTCCAGGGGGCATAACTCTGTCAAAAATTACTCAATCATACCCAAAACAAAACCTGATCTAGATATTCTTCTGATAAATCTGTATACCAAATTTCATTTCAGTATGTGCAACCTCTGCAAAGAAAATGAACGGAAACGGCAAATAATTGGAATTTTTCCAAGTCCAAGGGGCATAACTCTGTCAAAAATTGCTCAATCGTACCCAAAACAAAACTTGACCTAGATATTCTTAAGATAAGTCTGTATAAAGAAAATGAACGGAAACTGTTGGTGGACCGACAGACAGACAGACCGACATCCACTGCTGCTCTGACAATAGTGAATAATAGAATGCTCATTTACATCCCTGTATAAAATCTTTAAATACAGTAAAACTAGGATATAGCGAAGTCCTAGGGACCTGTGAATTTACTTCGCTATATCTGTAATTCGTTTATATCCATCTAATGAATTCGTTCAAGTATATATAACAAATTCGCAATATGCATTTTTTCCTTCAAATATGACTACCAAATATCTTCTAGGAGGTTTTCAATACAAAATTTTCCTTAGGGTACTTAAGATGAATTGAATATCAAATATAAATACTGATTAAAAACAACATGTGTTTGTGAAACACTGATGCCCCCGTATGGCAGCATATGGCGAAGGTTAAAGTTTCTCAAATGCAAGTCAAAATTCAGGCCAAAAGATAAAAAATGTTGATACCCAAAGAAAGATCTTGTCTCGAGGAGTACACCTGTGAAATTTGAAAGACCTAGATACAACTGTTCAAAAGTTATGGCGAAGGTTAAAGTTTTTTAAATAAAAGTCGAACATCAAGGTCAAGGTCAAAGTGGTTGGTATCCAAAGGAAGATCTTGTCACAAAGATTACATATGTGAAGTATGAAAGCCCTAGCACCAACCATTCAAAAGTTATGGCCAAGGTTAAAGTTTTTCAAAAGTAGGTCAAACTCTTAGGTCAAGGTCAAAGGGTCAAAGTGGTTGGTATCCAAAGGAAGGCCTTGTCACAAGGATTACATATGTGAAGTATGAAAGCCCTAGCATCAACCATTCAAAAGTTATGGCCAAGGTTAAAGTTTTTCAAAAGTAGGTCAAACTCCTAGGTCAAGGTCAAAAGGTCAAACTGGTTGGTATTCAAAGGAAGGTCTTATCACAAGGATTACATATGTGAAGTATGAAAACCCTAGCTCCAACCATTCAAAAGTTATGGCCAAGGTTAAAGTTTTTCAAAAGTAGGTCAAACTCCTAGGTCAAGGTCAAAGGGTCAAAGTGGTTGATATCCAGAGGAAGGTCTTGTCACAAGGAATACACATGTGAAGTTTGAAACCCTAAGCACCAACTGTTCAAAAGTTATAGCCAAGGTTAAAGTTTTTCAAAAGTAGGTCAAAGTCCAAGGTCAGGGTCAAAAGGTCAAAGTTGTCGGTATCCAAAGGAAGGCCTTGTCAAAAAGAATACACATGTGAAGTTTGAAACCCCAAGCACCAACTGTTCAGAAGTTATGGCCAAGGTTGAAGTCTCATAAAATTTTGCAAAAGTGGGTCAAACTCCAAGGTCAAGGTCAAAAGGTCAAATATGATGGTATCCAAAGAAAGGTCTTGTCACAAGGAATACACATGTGAAATATGAAAGTCATAGCTCCAACCAATCAAAAGTTATGGGCAAGGTTAAAGTTGACAACAGACAGACAGACAAACGGACAAACAGACAAACAGATAAACAGACAAACGGACAAACAGAAAAACAGACAGACAGACAGGACAAAAACAATATATCCCCGGGATCTTTCGATCCAGGGGCATAACAAACAGACAAACAGACAGACAGGACAAAAACAATATACCCCCAGGATATTTCGATCCGGGGGCATAAAAATGTCAGATAAATATCTGAATTTTAAGATATTGAAAATTCATTATAAAAGATGTAATTTTCGTTTTTTTTTTTACCTCTACATGACACAAAATCAGTTCGCTATATCCATAAATTCTTAATATGAGAGTTAATTATAACCATATTTTCTTAGGATTATTAAGAATTTTGGAAGGGATTCAAAAAATCCTCGCTATATCTGTGAATTTGCTATATCTGTGTTCATACTAAAAAATTTTACTGTATAAGGAATTACAAACCTGTATTCAGAGGAGCTATTGTATCCCATTCATTGGTTTTGGGGTCATACACATGGCACTCATTAGAACTCTTTTGTCCCAAACATCCTCCAATGCAGTACAGTTTTTCATGCAATGAAGCCAATCCTATAAATATATGATTGCCCCCATGACAAAAGGTCCTTATGGCAATTTTTATGCATTTTGAGTTTTTCATGGATTCTAATAGAGCAAGGTTAGAAGTTGCCAAATCTTAATATTTGTGGTCCTACGTCAACTCTAAGTAGGTTTTTTCTTCATTTATATCAATGATATGTTAACAAGAAAATAATGAGGTTACTTTCACACCACCGTCAAACATTTTTCAGATTGAACATTATGACTTTGCATTGTTATATTACTATGGTAATGGATGTATGTTATTGAATATTTTCAAAAGCTACTGTCTCTTTTAAGGGTGAATTCAAAAAAATGACCACCAAACTGAAATTTTTTGGAAAAATTCAACTACTTATAACATATTTTTCACTTATATCATCGTATTGCACATGCACTGCATTTTAGTTTAAAATCCTGAAGTGGCAATATAATAGATAAGAGGCCCATGGGCCACATCACTCACCTGAGCACAATGGCTTGGCAAAAGCACAAATCAGTTCAGTATTAAAAAAATTACGGGAAGGGGGGGGGGCTTGAATTTTAAACTACCTGATGATGCTTCCATGTCAATATAACAAATGGCTTTGTTGTACTTGAGAAGATTTTTAAAAATTTTTCCCATATACTCCTTTGTAGAAGTTAAATCCCCCATTGTGGACCCTCCCTATCCCAGGGGTCATCATTTGAACAAACTTGAATCTACACTACCTGAAGATGCTTCCATATCAATATGACTTAACATAGCTTTTCTGTTCTTGAGAAGTAAAATTTTTTTCTATATTTCTTATGTAAAACTTTCGACCCCCCACTGGGCTCCACTCTACCCCCGGGGGTCATCATTTGAACAAAATTGAATTTACACTACCTGAGGATGCTTTCATATCAAAATGACTAAACATGATTTTCAGTTCTTGAGAAGAAGATAGTTTCCTATATGTTTCTATGTAAAATTTTCGATCCCCCATTGTGGCCTCACCCTATTCCCGAGGGTCATCATTTTAACAAACTTGAATCTACACTACCTGGGACTAATCATGGCTTTGCAGTTCTTCAGAAGTAGATATTTTCCTATATATTTCTATTTAAGACTTTGATCCTCCATTCTGGCCCCACCCTACCCCCGGGGGTCATAATTTGAATAAAACAGAATCTACACTACCTGAGGATGCTTCCATATAAATATGACTCATCATGGCTTTGCTGTTCTTGAGAAGAAGATTTTTCCTATATATTTCTATGTAAAACTTTCATCCTCAATTGTGGCCCCACCCTACCCCCGGGAGTCATGATTTGAACAAACTTGAATCTACACTATCTGAGGATGCTTCTATATAAATATGACTCATCATGTTTTTGCTGTTCTTGAGAAGAAGATTTTTAAAGATTTTTCCTAAATATTTCTATGTAAAACTTTGATCCTCCATAGTGGCCCCGCCCTACCCCCGGGGGTCATGATTTGAACAAACTTGAATCTACACTACCTGAGGATGCTTCCTTATAAATATGAATCATCATGGCTTTGCTGTTCTTTAGAAGAAGATTTTTTAAGGTTTTTCCTATATATTTCTATGTAAAACTTTGATCCTCCATAGTGGCCCCGCCCTACCCCCGGGGGTCATGATTTGAACAAACTTGAATCTACACTACTTGAGGATGCTTCCATATAAATATGACTCATCATGGCTTTGCTGTTCTTGAGATGAAGATTTTTAAAGGTTTTTCCTATATATTTCTATGTAAAACTTTGATCCTCCATTGTGGCCCCGCCCTACCCCCACAGGTCATGATTTGAACAAAATTGAATCTACACTACCTTAGGATGCTTCCACATGAGTTTCATCTTTCCTGGCTCTGTGGTTCTTGAGAAGAAGATTTTTAAAAGATGCTATTAATTTTTCACTAATTCTTGATTATCTCCCCTTGAAAGAAGGCGTGGCCCTTCATTTGAACAAACTTAAATCCCCTTCACCCAAGGATACTTTATGGCAAGTTTGGTTGAAATTGGCCCAGTGGTTCTTGAGAAGAAGTCGAAAATGTAAAAAGTTTACAGACAGACAGACAGACAGACGGACGCCAGACAAAAAGTGATCAGAAAAGCTCACTTGAGCCTTCGGCTCAGGTGAGCTAACAATTGGATAAAAAAGTTTCAGAATTTTTATTAGTAAAATTTCTTTTGAAAAAAGAAATTATCATTGCATCTTAAAAGACTTTCTAAAATACATAATCACAAGAAATTATAGTTTTCTATGCTTCAAAATGGTAAAAGAGGTATAAATGATTAAATCTAGACCTTGATTGAGTATCTTCTCTTGTATATGTGACAAGAAATTGGCTTTTTGATTGTTATTTTACATTATTTTTTCAATTCTGGTTTGAAAAGTTTTAATATGAAAAAAATATGAAGCAATAAAATTCCCCAAAATTCACTTTTTTGTCTGTTCAAGTCAATTCTTTAAATCTAAGCCAAAAAAGAATTTTTATATATGAGTTCTCTTACAAAAAATACTAGATTTTGAAGTGACCCTATGTTACATTATTGTGTTGCACTCCTGATGTCCAATATGTATTTTATTTAACATTGTTTTAAAAAGTATAACACACAATAACCCATTCTTACTTTGTAAATCAATTTGTCATTTTGATATTTTTTATCGTTTACGGCAGGTTTTTCATATTTTGAAGACCTTAAAACATGATTATTTGCAAAGTGTAATATATATATTAATTGTGTTTAAATATACATGTATATGTGGAATGATGAAAACTATTCCCTGAATTGACTGTAAAGAACAAGGTTCACTTAGGGCCTTTTTAAGCCCTGTGAATTTCTTAAAAAGTGAAACTGCTTTGTTTCAATTGATAATGCTTTAAATATCATTTAGACTCTTGGTGATTGCGAATCTATCAAAAATGACGTAATTTTCTGGCTAGTAAATGCATTATGACGTCATGAATTGCGTCATTTTCATCATATCCTGAAAAATTCAACAAAACGGCCAATTTTTAAAGCAATTTTTTAATATTATATATAGAGCGCAACCTTTGATCTATGTAATTATAAAATTATAGAACTGCTTCTAAGGATTACAAAACATGTTTTATTTTTTGGATCAAGAAGTGCGCTCATATTATTTTTCTTCTCTGAAAGCACTCAAATATACCTCTTTTCCTTAAAATTCAAGAACATTGCAATTTCATAAAGCCTGTTTTCCAATACCTTAAATTTCAGGAGAAAATTTTTAATAGGAAATGAAAGCACCAAGTCTCTACTATATCTAGATGTTTGAAATATGGAACATAGCATGTAAATTTATAAATTGGTATATCGATCTACAGGGCCATTTTATGCATAAAGTGAACCTAGCTCTTTCTGTAATTTGTTGATAGACATAGTGTTTTGAACATCAAATAGTATCAAAATTTTTTTTTTCAACTTATTCTTTTTAGTAAATATAGTTAAAAAGCATTGGTAATTATAAAGCAGTTTTGTTGCACTCCTGACTGCAGTAAAATTTAAAATTAAAACCATACAACACAAAAATTCATAAAGTGTTGGCAACATCAAGTGGTAATGAAATTGTGCAAAATTTATAGCCCAATACTTCATAATTAAAACAGATGAAAGTATTTAAAATTCACATTTTATCTGGAATTATTCCCTATTTATGCCAAAAAACTAGCTTAAATGTACATTTAGAAGATAAAATATATTTTATAGCAGATTTTCCTTTAGAGGATAACCACTAACCCACCAGAAAAAATCTACTCATCATTTTTTCTTTATTTTTATTTTTAGTTATTGGATGATTTATAATTCTAACATATTTGTTGCACTCCTGACCAAAAGCATTGTGGCCTTTAAAGTAGAATTGTGAAGTGAAAATTACATAAGAACTTGGTCTGTTGTTTCAGTTAAGTTGAGGAGGAATTACTTGAATTTTATGACAATTTTTTAGTGTGATTATTTTGACCGTTCATTAAAAAAATCACAGAAAAGATAAAAACATATCTGAATTGATAAAATTGAAAAGGAAGGATTTTAATTATAAAACTGTCAATAATTTAGTATTAAATTATACAAAAAGATCATTATTAATTAATGACTACTTCTAAACATGAATAGAAGTGTTTTCGTCACACAACTTGAATTTTTTAAAAAATGTGTTGCACTCCTGACCAAAGAATGGGACAGCCAGATCCTGTAATTGATAAAACTACTTGGTAAAAATGTTCTTTGTGTCTTTATTTTCCAAAATAAAAATCAGAAAATCATATAATGATAATAGTTTTTTCATGCTTGGGAGCAATTAAAACATCAAATGTTGCACTCCTGACATTATTGGGTATGCATATATACCGTATTTGGCTGAATATAATACGCATTGGTGTAAAATATGCACCCCCTTTTTTGGCTTCAAAATTTGGGAAAAAACGCAGTTCGGTTGTATTATACGCTGTCAAAAAATTGACCAAGCAGTAATGTTGTTTTTTTTACATCGCGGTAATTTTAACTTAAAATCTTTGTGGAAATAATGTATTGAAAATTTAAGCACGGTAACTTTTCATACGCAGACTTTGCTTTTTGAGATTACAGTACTCCTGATTTTAAGCATGACGGTATTATTCATAGAAATAATTAAATTTTGCATTATAAATCATTTTTTAAGTTAACAGCAATATTGTCTTTAAAAATCGCGGTATAATTTGATAAATTTTAACAAAACAGAAAATGTCGTCCCATTAAATTTTTATCTGGCTAAATATATAAATCTTGCACTTGAACATTGCTATTTAATAGCGATTCTCTTTAACCACTTAAACTTCTTTGCCACGCATGGTCACCGATTTTGATGAAACTTTGCCCATTAATACAACTTGACACCAGAAACATATATCAAATAAAATTCCGTTGCTATGTGTCTTGGTTGCCATGGTAACAGCCAGAAAAGTTGAAAAAATTGAGATTTTCAGCTACTTTGAATCTTCAT